GGGGGGGACGGGGGGGGAAGTGGCGGCGGGGTTGTCGTGCCAGCGGCTGCTGGTGGAGGCCGGGGCGTTCGAGAGGTTCGGGTACTCGGACATGGCCGCGGCGTGCGCTCGCTCGGTGCTTCAGGTGGGGACGGCTGATATGGTGGTGGTGGTGGTGGTGGTATTGCTGTTGCTGTCGTTGTTGCGAATTTGTTTTGAGTTTTTTACCACAAGAACACCGCTGTGTCGTCCATTTTTTATGCAATTTGTCGATATCAAAGCAACAGCCTCCCGTAGGCGGAGGGCAGCGGTAGGCAAGACCTAGGGGGTGTTGTCCGAAGCCCCTGGGGTTGACATTTGCGCCTTTGAGTCCTGAAGGAACTGAGCCGAACGGACAAATGCGTTCCCTCTTGTAGTCAACGCCGTTGGACGGCAAGGTTGGCCACGGTAAGGTGGTACTGCGGCGGGCCAAACATGGTCGCGTTCAGTGCTGTGCTCTACGAGAGGCTGATGGTCTGGTGTGCTCAGAGGACCGCGCGCGCTACAAGTGCACGCAGCCTTTTAGCTGTTTAGTGGATCTTCGTACTTGTGCTTTGGGGATAAGTTGGTAGAGCAACCGCTCCCAGCGGAGGAAAACCCTGCTGTCCGATGAGATGGTAGACGGTTGTCTTTCCAATAGATGGCATGCACAAGCTTTTCGCACGAAACGTCTCCGTCCTCTCGTGTTACGTCTCTTGGGAGGCAGTGCTTGCATATCACCGCCATGCCCCCGCCCCCCGCCCCCTTCCATACCTCCGCCCAGATCCACGGCGACATAGCAACTGCCTCGAGCGTCGAGCTAGCCTCCGCCTGCATCATCAACGCCACCCTCAGAGGGAAAACCTTGCCGGGCCTCCCCCCGCCGCCCGTCTTCGGCGGCTCAGCGGGGACACCGGGCGAGGAGAGAAAGGGCGACGGGGAAGAAGACGAGCAAGGTTGCGTGTTTGCGGTGGCGCTCTCCATCGCGCTACGGCAGCACAAAGAGTTCCCTCACCCGGTGTCGAACGTCTGGGCCGCGGGGGTGATGGTGCTGCTCCACGAGTGGATGGTCAACAGGGGGGAGTTTAGAGCCGCCGAAGGGTGAATAAAAACTTGAACAGAGAACGGGGGGCTGCTGGGGGGACGCAGGGTAGAAAAGGGCAGTTTAGTTTCGCGACTATGCAGCTTTTCCTGGGACGCCTGCTGCTTGCTGTTCTTGTCCCTGCGTACCCACCGGTATGATCGCTTTGACGTAATCTTGTTTGTGGAGGACCGCGCGGAACGTTCCTCGTGGTGGTGCTCTCCCGTGTGACGTAGAGCCCACCGCCGCGAGTACGGATTAATTCGTTCCGCGCACCTTTTTGCTATCTTTCTTTTGTTAAAGACCACGTGTCTTCCGGTCATATTCGCGTGTACTAACATTTTTATTTTTCTCTTCTTCCTTTCTCTGTCTGTCTGTCTGGCTGCCTGCCTGCCTGCCTGTCTGCCTGTCTGTCTGTCTGTCTGTCTGTCTGTCTGTCTCTCTCTCTCTCTCTCTCTCTCTCTCTCTCTCTCTCTCTCTCTCTCTCTCTGCCTTGTGGAGGCTGGGCATGAGCCTCCGTGCCTGCTGTCCCCTCAGCCAAGGAGCGGAGTCCTTCATCGAGGCGCACCTCCAAAGAGTTAGGCTTCTCAGGGCACAAGGAAGGCGAGTGGTTCGACAGCCTCCAACGTGGTTTTCGTTCGAGACAATGGGGCGGGGATCGGGGTCGTTGGTAACAGGGGAACACCCGGAGCTCTTTTTGTGGGGCCCCCTTTCATGGAGTGAAGCGATTGGGGGGGCAGAGAGAGTTTTTCATTTCCGTCTGTTGGGTGGCTGGTGTTTCTGCTGATGGTGGAGGTGTAGACCGGGGGGGTGTCATTTGCGGTGTTGCCCCGGTCTCCGCTCTTCTGTCCCCCTCCTTGGCGAGCAAAGCGATTGTCGCCCGATTTCAGCACTGACGTAACGAGGGAGTTTTGGGTTGATATTTCGCATGTATTGGTCGGGTGTGGCCTCGTGATTTGTTTACATCGTTCTTCCCCCCCTACCCCCCCCCCCCCGGGAGGAAAAAAATCGAAAAAAGTATTCTTTGAAACAGGGCTGTAACCAAATCTCCACCCATGTTTTGGAGGCGTATTACGCTAGAGTGGGGTCACCGCTTTGCGTCGAAAGGGTGGTTGATCGGTTATCGAATGACGGGTACCTCCAGCGAAACCAAACGAGAGAGCGTTTAGATCTACAACCCAGCCTTTCACTTTGTCCCGCGGAACCCCCCCCCTTGCGCTCCAGGTGGGCAGAGGCCGTGAAGGCAGCCTCCGACCTGGCCAAGCTCAGCGACACTCGGGGCCTCGCCCCGCAGTACGCCCGCCTGCTGCTGGAGCTCTCCCGCGCCTGGCTGGGGGCGGAGCCGGCGTCGCCTGTCGGGGCGTTGCCGCACGCGCTGCGGTGCCTGGCGGTGTGCGAGAGCTACACGCTGGACGCCATCCACGCGTCGGCGATGACTCACCTCGCGCAGGTGTGGTATAATAGGGCAGCAGCGACACGGATCATTTCACGGTACAAACAGCAAGTCGATAGAGGGTGCGGTGGCAACGTTCCGTTTCGTTCCATGGTAAAACAGCCAGAGCGCGCCATCCCGTCAGGGGGTACGGTACGGATTCGTTGCGTTTTTCGGAGCGCAGCTCACGCGTGTGTCCTAGTTGTCTTGGTGTGGAATGGTGCCGACAGCGGGAGTACCGTGTGCTACACAAGGCAACACCTCGACAGCACGCAACACACACAAACACAACGCCGCACCCGATAGCAGAACGTTTACGGGTCATCATGAGCCCAAAAGATGAGAGGAAAATGCTCTCAGATCAAAGAACAGGTCGACATGAGATAACACCCACACTCACACAACGAAACACTCGGTAAAGTGTTTTTGACTCCGTAAATTTCTCACCGGGCCGTTTTATCCTAGCATAAGATAGTACACATATACGCGTGCAATTAGCTCAACTAGATGATTGATACTTGTTTTTGAGTCCCTGACGTCTTCACCGGGCTGTGTTATCTTGTCCTCCATACGACTTGAGGCACGGAGCGGCAAGCAGAGAGAGAGAGAGAACGACCCTCTCTCCGCTCAAGCCACTGGTGCACCTGGAGGGCGAAACATTGTATAACACGGTGGCGGAATGTCCCCCCTCTCTCTAGGCACGCCTTGCCCCGCCCCCACCTCCTGCCCTCTTTCTAGACACCGCTTTGCCTTGCCCCGCCCGATCTACGACGGCGTCCTTCCACGCGGCAGGTGCACCTCCGCATGGGCTCGACACGACGTGCCCGCATCCTCCTTCAAGCCTGCCTGGGGCAGCTGCTGGCCAGCGCGCCCGTACAGTCGCAGGGTGAGGCCTGGCTGGCGATGGCCAGGTGCGACATCGCGGAAGTGTCTCTCGGCGGTGGCGGACAGACTTCCACGGCGGTACCAGAAGCAGGCGGCGAGGGAGGCGTTACGATCGAAGGAGGAGGAGGAGGAGGAGGAGGAGGGGGACGGGGGGCGGGGGGCGGGCCGGCGGCGCCGGCGGCGCTATCGGGGCCTGCGGCGACGGGGAGGGTGCGGCGAGGGGAGGTGCTGAGAAGAGCGGTGCTCAACCTCGACCGAGCGATTGCGAAGCTGAAGCGTTGCCATGACTTCGCCGGGCTGCGGGAGTGCTTGTATCTCAAGGTGACTTTTTTTTTTGGTTCGTGCGTGGGGGGACGGTAGACAATGGCATGCTGTTGGTCTGCTCTGGTTAGTCACCACGAGTTATTGGTGGAGAAACCTGCAGATGGCCGCTCGGTGGTGGTGATCACTTGGTTTTAGATGGAGTAAATCTGCCCAGCCTTTGTAACACCTAGTGAACATGAACTAGTATTAGGTCTTCCTAGGTCTTTCCCCGATACTCGTTCAGCAATTGTTTTAGACGCAGCAGGCACCGAATGACCTACACGGGGCCCAGATTTCATCGCCTCGTTTTCATTCGCCTCGTGTTCCCCCCCACAACCAAAGCGTGAAAAAAAAAAAAGTACACCACGAATCATGATAACTCCATACCCTCACGTGGTTTCTCTGGAAATGTGTACCCGTTTTTGGTAGCTGACCGGTGATGACCACGGAACACGTCCGAGTCAGTTGAAACGGCACGAATGTTAGAGGGTACTGGGCAGAGGCCGAGGCGATTTTCATGTAAAGACAACGACAAACAGCAATAACAACGACGACAACAACAACAACCCTCTGCCCTACTTGTCCAGGCCCGCGTTTGTGCGGAGCTGGTGTCAGAGCACGAAGAGGCATCAGACAAGTATAGGGCGACCGTGGAGCGAAACGCCTCCTCAAGAGAGTTCCTGGCGGTTTCGAAAGCCGTGGCCCGAGCTCTGGCTTGCCCCTCTCCCGGTCTGAAAATCGGGCCCGCGGAGGTCCGGCGATACATGTCAGCGTCGGTGGAATCGGTCCCTTGGAGTTGTTAGTGAAGTGTCCTTGTTTTTTTGTATTGTTTTGCGGGGGCGAACATTTCGGCGTCGACGGAATCGATCCCTTTGAGCTAGTAAAGTTTTTTTGTTTTGTTTTTTTTGGCGGGGGCGATAGATGTCACCGTCGATGGAACTAGTCCCTTGGCGTTAGTAAAGGTTTTCTTTTTTTTGCGCCGGGGGTGGAGCGGGTTGCGGGGATGCTCAGGTGGGTTCCGGCGGCGGAGCAGGTGCCGTGATTGGTGACAACTTCGGGCGGAGTTGGGTGTAGAATTGGCGTCTGTGATGCGCAACGTCGTAGTTGGTTCCGTTCCACGAACGTGGTGCGTGTATTTGCACGATTGTGATGATTGCAACTCGAAGTATCGTCAACGTTGCCTGTTTGCAACTTTCGTGCCAGCGGGAAACGTGAACCATTTCGAATGTACAGGCAGCGAAACCCGTCATGCACCAATGCCAAGAAATAAGACATTGCGGAAATGGCTGTTTGCCCTCCAGACTTCAGTTGACCCAGCAAGAAACCGCATGTAGGGCCGATGCGTACTGCGTACACCACCGCTGCTGCGTCATCTTGTGTGTTCTATGGCACCGCAAGCTATACTTCGCATCCTAACCCTAATCCTCTCGTGAGACCTGGCGTGATGCGACGAGAGTGATCGCTCTCTGGGGGCGAACAAATGACACCGCGAATGGGTAAGATAGTCGCTTTGTCAACCGGTCGGAAGAACAAGAGGATACTGTGACGACGGCCACGGATGAACCTCCCCGTCTTTGGCATTGCGACCGGCTGGCGGAGTGGCCATCCCTCGATTTCCTGCCGCGTTCGGGGGCAGTTTCGAAGGAGAAATGACGCGCGGAAGATGGAAAAGTTCGAAAGCATTAGAGCTGTGGGCAGAGTTCTTTACAATCTTTGGGAGGTGTTAGGGTAGCCTGGGTACCGGGCACTGCCACTCCCACCATAGTTTTTCAGGTGCTCCCCTACCAAGCATTAACATATCCCCGCTAAATAATTGTTTTGTTTCTGTCAGGTTTTCCGTGATCGAGTCTGAGTAATGAACCACGCGGGGTGCCTAAGCCACTAGATGGTCCTCCTTGTCGTGAGGAGGCGCTCTTGATGTCGTGCCCGTTGTCACGGCAACACGTGCTACCCCTCCTTGCCCGTCCTCGGTATTTTCCACACGGAATGTGCTTGCTTGTACATCTATCTGACTGCAAAGTCTTGAAACCCTGACCGCACGATTTGCTGGGTGCCAACAGTTCTGAGGGACTAGTCTACTACACGCGAGGTGTTGGAATGATTCTTTGGTATGATTCATTGGCTTACTAGCCCGCCCGTTTCGTGAGACCGCGTGTGGCAGTTTATGCCGCACCCTGAAAACGGGTTTCTGGAAGAACACACTGTAGCAAGAAGTCTCACCTTCCCAGCCGACGTTGTCGCCGAGCCATTTCCTTTCCCTCGGCACCGCCGGGGCTGGCTTGTCCGGGTGGGTCGGCCGATGGACAAGCCCCAGGAGCTGCTGATGCGTCGCCTTCGCCGGAAACAAGGGTAGCCTTTTGTCGAGAGGCGACGTTCCGGTGAGGATGCCGTCCACCTCCGCTTCCCTGGCAGCGGGAGGCAAGAAAAAAGCGTCCGCGTGTGGCACCTCACATCCGTGAAGAAGACAAAGCCGTGCGAGTTGGACGCTTGATCGGCTCCTCGTTTGTCGGGGGGTATTCGTTGGTTGTTGGAAGCACAATGGCCACTGGGTTACCAGTTTACCGAAGCCGACCGGCAATCCCGTGGTCAATAATGTGCTTTCAACATTGATGTTCAAGAGCAAGGAGTGGAGGAGAGAATGGCAACCAACTGCATTACCTTCCCCTGGTCCGATTGTACGCCATCTTGTCGCGGCAGAAGTGGTATTCGTATCCCCCTCGTCTTCGCGTCGTGTTTCCGGACAGTTCGTGCCCGCCATCGGCGCTACGGTCTGCCTGGAGCGAAGATTGTGGCCGCCGGTGACGCTGTTGTGTGGCGACGGAAGTGTTGTAGTTGTTGGGGGCTGGGTTTCGATGCCATCTGCCGCTGATTGGGCGGTCGGCGTCCGGTTCGTGCGTACGGCCCTGTCTGTTGAGGCGGAAGACCGTCTCGGGATAGCACTTTTGCATGTGCAAGACCTTGCGCACCGGGTGGTTTCCTTGCAGTTGCCGCATTTGGAACACGGCGTCCGTGTCGTATTTTTGGTTCCAAGCTCGGTTGGTTGCCTTTCTGCGAGTTCATTCAGGGAGGCAGTCGTCATGGAACAGATTCGGGCGGGGAGGGGGCACACCAACGCCTACAACATGTTCTGTGTTGTTTACTCTGCGTTTGTTTCGTTTGGGGTATTGCACACCAGACGAGTTGGGCGACGATCTGGGGAATCACCAACGCCAAGTACATAACTTCGTCATACAATGAATGCTGCGAGTTGTCGTGCGTGTTCAGCGATACGGAGTAGGTCTACTGATTTTCGCCTATTTGTCCTTGCCTCCCTGTCCTAACCAAGTGCACAACAAAGTCGACCACGATACCAAGACAATTGTAACACAAACAACTTCTTATTACAGCTCCAAAGGAATTGGAGGATTATGGCATAGGATACACGCACATAGTAGTCTACAGCTCAGTCTCCTGTGCTGCAGCAGGTGCCGCTGGCTCTCGCATGTCAAGAGGAGGTTGAGCACCGATCGCTTCCCGTGGCATCGCGTCGTATGCGTCTAGTCTACGCCAAAAGATAGGTATGCATACAATAAATGTGTGTGTGGTACATCAGATTCTTGCTTACTTCGCTTGTAGCTTCAATGAACGCACTACTGTAGCACGAGCATGCACATAGGATGGCCGAATCGGTAGATCAGACTTGAATCGATGTCGAAGCTCGAGACTACAGTACATGTACCCTCCGTGAGGCAACATTCGTCGCCTACAAGTACCCACCTTTCCTCCGAGCTCGCATCGAAGTCCCCGATGACGGATGCACTTAGGGTGGACGTCAGAAACCCGTACCCATTTTTGACCCGGATTTGTTCCATGTGGGCTTGCTTAGCGTCGTAGATCCACACGTCTAAGCTCCGGTCACCTGAGGTGTGGTCTTTGGTGCAGTATGGCAACTGCCTGGCGTCTGGCACTATTAGTGGCATCCGGTACACATGATACTCGCGGGAATCTTATTTCCCCGCACTGAATAGAGGGAATCCACGTGTTGTTGAAATGACGTGAAAGATTGACATTTCAGGAAGTTTTGACGTGAAGAGGTTGCGCCGCTTTTTTGGGGGCAAACTCTGACGGCGAAATTTTTGTGAGGAAGCGTCAAAATTAAATTTCACCCAAACATAAAACGACGCGAAAAGATTGACGCTTCAAACATCGCCAGACTGTGGCTCACACACGCTTGCTCTGCTGCGGTCTGCTGTGCGCGGTCAGCAGCGAACACATTGGCCATGCCTATACTGATTGCTCCTAGCGGTCCTGCACCCACGCGTCTCGGCAGTTCTCACGGCGGCCAAGAGGCCAGACGCGCGTGTTCGGCGCGCGCGTTCGGTAGATGCGCCGTCGCGATTGCGCACGGGCTTTCAGCAGCAAAAAGGGGCATAGGCAGGGGAGTGATTGGGGGAGTCTCGCCCTCGAAGGCAGCACATGGAGAGGAGTAAGGGAGGGTACACGGACTTTGCCAGTCAGTAGGTGCATTTCGCCCGCCCCCTCACGGGGTTCGGTGCTCTGCTGCCGCAGTGACATCGGTATATACACAGCAGTGCAGCGAGCAGCTGCCTTACTCATCAGCAACGAACGGCAGTTTGACGCCTGGGAAGTCGCAGTTTGACGCCTGGGAAAAGTCGCCGCGGCAAAGGAGGGAAGGTCGGCGGGATGAGGCGAAGGGGTACACCTAGTCTCCTGGGAGCCTGGGGGTGTGAGTCTTCGCTTCGGAATGTCGACCCTGGGTGGCAGCCCGAACCAACCTTGAACTCTACCTCCACCATTTTTTTTTTTCACCTCTCACGTGTCAACGGGCACACGCGGTGCGAATTTTTTCCCGTCAAAACCCTCAACCGTCACTTTATGTTGGCGTCAATCCTCAAAGGTCAAAATTCCGCGTCAATCCATAGTGGATACCCTATAATATGTGCCGGTTCGGGCGACGGGAGCGGCGCAAGAACCTTGTCTCATGACTCGCTCCGTACTTTATGACCCCTGCTGCTGCTCGTGCTATGCAACCATGTCCTTGAGCACCCCATGATGTCCACAAACACACACACAGCCGAAACGCAAGGCGGCCCTTTGGACATATGACGCTAGGTGCCACCGGAACTGAGATGCTGGACAAAGCACCGAGCCTGTCACCACCAAACGACCATCCGCAGCGTTCGAAGGTGCGTACGACACGTATTTTCGAGTACGAAAGCTTGTACGAAGTGTACCATACCTTGTGTTGACAGTAAACTCCACTTATCAACTGACCCCCCAAGGGAGACACATGACCAACGCCACGTTGATGATATGAGTCTTTTCGTCGAATTTTGGTGTCAATCTGATCTTCCTCGAGACAGTTCGTTTCGAGCCTGAACCTTTTTAGTCTGTCTACCTGTGGACCGACTGCGAACGAACATCGAAACCCGATTTGTGTCCCCTCTCCCTCGCAGAGCTTGCTTCCTCCATCCATCGTTGAGCTCAACAGGGACAGCGTGGTATTGTCATGGCGAGCAGCTCTCGGCAAGTGCTCCATCCACGCAGAGAACCCCGACAACATCTCGGAAAGTCAGGAGTGGGCAAACCTTGACGAAGACACCAGAAATCATCAACACGCCGCCGATGGTTCGGCGAAAAAGAGTGGTGATGTCAAGATATTCGACGTGGATCACGTCGAGCTGCAGACTTGCTGCGGGTGTCCCCGCTGCCTCCACGAGGGCGACGAGAACAACCAGAAAGACGAGGGTGGTGGTAGTCTTGAAGGCCGGGCATGCTCGTGTCGTTGCTGCTCTTCAGCGCGCTGCGGGCGGGGCTGTTGGCGCCCGGTGTACCAGGGACCCCACAACCAGTGCCGAGTTCAACTTGTGCAAGGGAACAAGATGCACTTCTTCCGGTTGCTTGTGCGTGCGAGGCTTCCCCCACCAAGCATGAGGAACTACATGCGCCCTAAGAGCGGGGTAGTCTTGGGTAGTGACCCTGACACCAGCGGAGGGGTCATGCAGCCCAACGACGGTGGTTCACATGATCTGACGTCACCAAACCGGCGGCGGCAGCGGCGGCAAAACGAATATTCTGGAATACCTACTGTTACCTGCTGTGACCCGGAAGAAGTAACGCTTTGGAGCGGCTCCCCTGCCCTAGCGCATGGTGGCTCCTGTAGTACTGCGGGTGGTGGCGATGTCCATGCTTGCGATCGAAGCCCGGGCCGAGGCCAGCAGCGAGGAGGGGTAGGGGTGTCACTATCCACCCCGCTCGGAGACGAGTCCAGAGCGACAACAGCAGCGGGGAAAAGCGTGTGGTTTGTGTCGGACTCGGTGTTCGTGGACAGTCGTCCTCCTGCTGTGACTCTCCACGGCATAGGCACCGCGCTGGTCTTGACGTGGCCCGCACTGGCCGGCTTATCTGGCGGCGAACAAATTTCCTACATCCTTGAGCAGTGGTCTCAAGCCACCACCACCCCGACGCCGTTTCTGAACAGAACCAGCCCTCGAACCGACCAGGGGGCGCCATCCGAGCTCGACGGCCGGCCAAAGTCTCGCCGAGGCCACCACCGACACCACCACCACCGCCGCCATCTGGCGCCGCCGAAACAAGTCGACTTGAAAGAGGCCTTCGCCGTCGGCACGAGATGCTGGTTCATGCCGACCGGTCTTAAGACGGGCATGCGGTACTGGTACCGCCTCAGCCTCATCCACGACGGAGGGAAAGGCGTCGGCGGAAAGTGGGTGTCGTACTCGACTTCCGTCGCACCGCCGCGATGCGTAGGCATGACCTCAAGGGCTCTCGTCTTGTCCCTCCCTCGCGCCCTAGACGACGCTGCCCGCTCTGGATCGGAAGGTGAGAGCCAGGACCGGAGGATTTCTCCGGACCGACAGTATCATGCTTATAACTGCAACAACAACAACAACGAGCATCTGGCAACACCAAGAGACGAAAAGCGCTTGGGCGTGGATAACGACGCAGAGCACCTCGAGGCGCCGGAGATGGACGGACAACCGTTAGAGACCAGGAGTCTGCCCACTGGAAGCGCAGGGGACAAAACTGAGGAATATGGTGACGCAGAGGACGTGGGCGTGACGACAAACCAACACCCTAACGGCGAGGAGGAAAAAATCGAACAGCCGATGGTGTGGTACACATTGGAAGGCTTCTTGGTTGAAGAGAAGCGGTGGGTCGCGCTGTACCGAGGCCCCTCTCCTGAAGTCGTTGTGGAGGTGAGACAGCCGAAGTTTGTATAGCCAGGGGTCGAAGAAAAAATTGCCCCCACAGAAGCAAGAGAAGCGGTAGACCACATCTCAAAGGAAGTCGTTGACTCTGATCTCGTTGATGGATGGAATCTGCTGCCAAAATTTGACTTTGGCATCGGGATCCATACAAGGTACACGGTGCGATACTTGGGGCGTATTTGCATGTGCTCTGATTGCATCAATGCCCCAGCAAATCGCAGGTACAAAAGAAAACGTTTGACCTAGAGACTCGTCTCGCCCATCTTTCTTTGCTTCCTGTTCTACAACTATCGATTCGTTTGCCGGTGGATGTTTATCGCAACGCTGGCGTACCAACACTCACAGGGACTCGAGCCAAGCACGCTCGTCAGGTTCAGGCTTGGCATTGACGTCGACATCACAGAGCTACGGCATCGATCTCTTGGTCCCCTTGCATCCCTTGAGCTGGAACCAACGTCGCCCGACGCGGTCGGTGTCGCCGCTACCGCCGCAGCACCCGCAGCAGCGGCAGCACCAACGACTTGTGGTGAAAATCTGTGCCCGAAACGGACACAGCTGGGCCAGGCGTGCCCTTCGCCCACAAGGACGGTCGTCGTACGGCCGGCGCTTCGCTTGAAGTCTACTGCGGAGGCTAAAAAATCTGTGGGGCACGGCGCCCGCAACCCCAAGACTGACCTCGGGCGAAATCGGTGGCAGTGGAGCCCCGCCAAGAGCCCGGCCGCATCGAAGATGAGACGGGAAGGTTTTGCGTTCCACGACGCCACCGCTACCGTCGGCGGCGGTTTCTACCTCGAGCGGCCGCTGCTGTCGTGGGGGAGGCTCCAGTGCCACAGCGGTGGGGCGATGTGGGAGTGTTGCGCTATCGGCGCCGGCGCCGGAGAAGGGGGGCAATGCCGAGAGTATTCGGCTTGTGTGGAGTTTGCTACCGCACCTTTAGCACCGAGATATGCGGCCTTCGTGGTCGGGGAGTCTCCCCAGGTTTGATCGCTTGGTCGCAGCGTAGTTCTTCATAATGAGTAGTCTAGCAGACGAATATCCAAACACGAAGTCTGGTGTTTTGCTTCCAAGGACATGATTGCCGAGTCACTATCCAAAATTTCACTCGGGATACAGGCAGCTCAATGTGTTGCCGTCGTCCTCATCGTCTCCGTCGCCGTCGTTGGTGTTGTTGGTGTTGTCGTTGTGCTGTTGTGTGGGTCGCAACCCTCCGCCTCAATCAATTTATTCCCCAATGACAACGGTCAGTTCTAACCCCGTAGACCCACCAAACGTTCGTGGTAGGTGAAAATGTGGTGGGCCGAGCCAAAAGCCGACCTCGAAAGCAGTACAGCACCCTCTGCCTTAGTCCGCCCATCATCAGCGCCACCATTCGCCACGCCAGCCCGCCAACGCGGAAGGCACCGCCTTGCCCCAGCGGAAGAAGCCCTAGACTCCTCGCCGGGACGACATTCAACAGCAGTAACCGTAGGAGAAGACTCTGGTGTGTCCCCCTACGCCCAGCAGCACCCCTTGTTCACCGTAACATTGTTGGAACCCGGCACAGACGGAGAAGAAACGCCAATACGACGACAGGCGTATTCAGGACTACGGCAATGGTTAGGCCTGGGGCGCTACCCCGAGTTTTTTTCGGCGAACGGCGCCGGCGTCTGTGCGGAGCTTGCAACTTCGACCGCTTTCGCCGTGGGGCTGTGCACGAAAGCAACGGATTCGCAGCCGGAAAGCGAGGTCCAAGCGGTGGTCGTCACCGCTCCACCCGCGCCTGTGATGGAGCCGATAGCAGTGGCTAACGATTCAGCGGCGGCGGAAGCTGAGGGAGAAGTATTCGGCGCTGTAACTCTGAAGGCCACCTGGAGGACGGACATCGACCAGAGGCATCTCCCCGCGGGAATTGATCTGCCGCCGTTGTTGATCGCGCTGGAAATGGCGCACATTCCGGAGGCAGGGCTTTCGGCTCGCGGTGTTGGGGAAACAGCGGCAAAGGTCTCCCAGAACGGACAGCAAGCTAGTTCTCCCGGGACTGCAGCACTGACAACAGCAACGGCGACGGTTGACGGTAGAGCTGTATCCCCGACTTCGCCCAACACCGCCCGCCCCTCAAGCGGTACCCAGAACATTCCGGTGAGGACTGACGCCGGTTTCGGCCAGTCCTGGACGCTAGGCTCCAGCTCGTGGGGAAGGTCAAGAAGTCGGGCGGAGGAGTTTGAGATTGTCTGGAGGGGCGAAGAGGGGGGAGCGGGGACGGAGAAGGGGGTGGTAGAGGCGCAGAGTCCCCCGTTGCCACCGGGAATGCGGTTTTTATTCCGGGTTCGAGTGGAATGCCGCTTCGGCGTGGCGGTCTCGGCGTCGACGGTATACGAAACGGCGCCCGTGGTACCCTTGTCCCCAAAGGTGAGAGAGGGTGGCGAAGCGGTTGATGGCGACAACGTCTAGTGGTCTTGAGGGAAGGGGTTGCTGCCGAAGAAGGCAACTGAGGGTGAGGCTACTGGTTTCGTAGGAATTCGGAACAGGGTGGTACTTCGATGCTGCTACTCTTTTGATTCGCTATCGGACGCAAACCGATGTTTTCTATAACCCCCCGCTTGGAGCTATTTCAAGGGGGGGCGTGGAGGTGGGCAAGGACCGTTACTGAACACATTTGTCGCTACTTCAATAACACCTAGAGAGGATGCCTGGTGGACCAGTGGCAACATTTTCGTGTAAGCCCTTGGGCTGTACCAATCGCGGTTGCACCTTCGTACATACTTCCCGGAGCGCTTTCTGCCGTCTAGATGCTAACTGGCTCCTCTTTTGCATACCCTTCTCGTGCCCTGACTGGCTGCAGGGACTCCGAGCATGCCTTGCAACTCACGAAAGCAGGGCGGGCAACACCAGCAGATGCGTGCGGCTGTTGTGGGACGCCTTTCACCCTGGCCACGGAAAGAACGTCATCACGTCTTTCACTGTCCAGGTTCGGTCGATTTGTATTGCGGGGAATATCCACAAAGGACGGTCCTTAATGTACCCACCACGCCGTACCGTACCACTCCCTAGAGGCGCTTCCCGGAGATGGTGATATGTCACAGGGTCACGCTGGTGGCGTGCTCCATCACTACCACAGACAGAAAATAGTTTTCGAGTTGGGCGTGAGGGCCTTTCGGGATCGTGCACAGACTACTCGTAAAGAGCTGCAGGGTTAGCCGCAACGGCTGTCTTCATGGCCCTGCCAGCAAACGCGACATCCCAGTACACCTCCCAAACCCAACCCCCTCCAAAATCAAACACAGGCGCGTCGTCCTCGGCCTTCCTCCCCCGAAGACCAGGTTACCCGGGACGCGAACCACCCCCACCCCCCACCCACCCCCGCACACCCTTGGCAAGTCGTGTGCTCCTGCCCGGAGATAGGCTGTCTCGATCCGGCGACCCTAGGCGTGCCGCACGTCCTCGCGGACTACCGCGTGAGGGCAGAAGGCCCCGGGGGTAAGGGCCCCTGGTGCGAGCCTCTCCGGGTCGACCTCCTCGTCCAGGAAGATACCCCCCGAAACGGGTTGTGTCTGCCATCTGGCGGCGGCGGCGGCGGCGGCGGAGGCAGCGGCGGACGCGGCGGCGGCTGCGAGAGTAGCGGTGCCGTCAGCAGCGTCACCTTTGTGGCGGCGAAGCAAGAGAAGCGGCACTCCGGGCGGCAGCCCATGGACTTCGTTCGACCGGGGGCGAGGGCGCGCGACCCTCTAACGGGAGAGGCGCGCCGGCGGCTGTGGGTGAACCAGAGGCCGCTGAAAGTGCCCCCGCCGCCGGCGGCGGTAGCGACGCTAGTGCTGCCGGGCGCGGTCGTGACGGCGAGGACGAGGACTACAGCCATGGCGGAGCATCGGTGCCGTCTTGCCGGGGGCAGCAATCAGCTATTATGGGGTGAGACTCAGCCTAATATCCGTTTCTGTGCCATGGAACAAGTTTTGAACGTTACTATGCGCCTTGGTGGAGGGATTCGGGTTCTTGGAACCTACGGCCATGGGGTATAATAGTTATTCTTTGTTGCGGGACGATCACGAGCGATATAGGTTGCGGCTGTTTGTATTTGCCGCGTTTCGTGCACCTGCGCCTGTTCCTCCTTCGTCATTTCTACCTAGACTTCTTCTCTTGAAACGCTGGATCAGCTTTACCCCTCATTCATCACACCTTTACCCAGGAGCGCTCGCGTCTCCTCGAGCGGCCCGCGGGTGTCGCGTGGAAGGGACTCTATCCTCTAGAGCTGCGCCGGGGGCGGCTGGAGTAAGCGGCTTCAATCGCGCTATCTCAGGGGGCGACGACCCTGAAAATAGCCGAGGGCCGAAGACAGAGGGCGAACACGTGGGGCCCAGAAGCCCAGCGAGAGGGGGGAGGGGCGAGCGGTTGGCGGTGGCGGCGATGCCACACGAGCTGGCGTTGTTGCTACGCGAGGAACTCGACGTGTCGCGCCGTCTGGGGTGCGACGAGGCTGGACCTTGGGAGAGCGAGGGCCGTGGCGGAGCGGTTGACAGGTGAGGGAAAACATTCTAAATCGTTGGTCGAGAGCGGCGTCACATTAAAATGGTTTTGAGCTAATCGACTTTTTTATCCATCCAGTGGCATTGTGGCAACATGTCGATGGAGATCACGTAGAACTCCCAAATGGTAGGCAGTGCGTGCGCCGAATGACATTGTCAGGCGTGGACGTGCTCACACCTTTCGGCAGCGACTTAAGGCACAGTAACTCAGTTCTCCCACGAACAGCGTCGAAGGTAGCTATTCTTCAATCAGCTTCTAGCCATTGCAAGTGTGTGTCGCGCGACACGCCCTTTCGTGACCCGTCCCCAACTGACGCACCCTCGCCACCCGGCCGATCTTTCTTGTTTCAGACTGTACCAGCGAGACCCGGAAACCCCAGTGGTGGCATGGGTCGCCCCACCTCCGCTTCCTGACCCGCAAGACCATTCCAGTCAAATTCAGCAACATGAGCGCCCTCGTCGTAGTCAGCAACAGCAGCAACGTACCAAGCGGCGATTTGCCAGAAGGCGGCAAGACACGACAGCAGGGACAAGCCGAGGGATGACCAAAGCTACGGGCGGGCTTCCAGGGGATGTATGCTTGGCCTCGGTGCCGCGGGGACGGCAGCAGCAGCAGCAGGAGGACAGCCAAAATCATGGCCATAGCCCCCGTGGTAGTCCCCGGCAAGGAACGCTCGGCACCAGCGGCGGTCGTGGCGGTGAACGCGTTAGGGCAAGCCGGAGAAGGGGGCATCATTCTAGTGGTGACCTTGACTGCTACAAAGAACCCAACGCAGGGAAAGCGGCGGTCATCCACGGCGGCGGTGATAGCAGCGGAGCGCGCAGAGAAAGAGGGAAAATCAGAGGATCGATAGAACAGTGACGGGAGCGACGGAGACGGGGACAGCTATGGTAAGGGTTCGGACTTCAGGCATGACACCGTCGGAAGGGGGGGGGGGGGAACAAGACTCGGTGGAGGATAAATATTTCGTCCCTTGAGCATCACCATCATAGCTCTGGATTGCCCTTCCCTGGGATGGGTCAAGGGTTGCCCAAGTTCGTGGACCACCCGAAGACCACACTACAACTGCGGGTACACGGGCCCAACGTAGATGGTGGGGATTGTAGACATCGTCGATGCCGGCGGCGCAGAATACCTTACTTACCGGAGAGGGAAATCTCAGGGGCGGGGATGCGGGTGGGCGGCGGGAGGAGTGGGGGTAGCTTTTTGACGGCATGTTTCGTCCAAGCGCAAGAGTACTTCACGAGACAACTTCGGGGAGGATGCGTATTCGGTGTTCGCTCACGCAACGAGGCCCGTGCAGGGCTCTAGATTTCATCGTCGGCGAAGAAAGCCCAGAACAAAACAATATGGGCCTTGCGAGTAACACCCCCAGTCGGTGTGAGGGTGCGCGACTTGGTTCTTGAGAGGGCGGTCCATTCTAGAATCAAATGACAGGCGTCAATAACAGTGGCTTCAGTAGATTCCGTACTATGGTATTAATATTTTTTAATGCGCAGAATGAACACTGAAATAGAAACCCTCAAAGAGGCTTCAGAAAAAAACTACTACCGTCGTTGCACTGCAGTCGGTGTGGCTTCAATTAGAAGGCATGAACACCGGCTACATCATGATTTACCTCCACCCTCGCTTCCATAGAACAATCCAACGACTTGCGACGATAAAGTAGAACCGCCGAACGGGAGGCCATCGCTTTGAACAAGCGTGGCTTGGACTTACATTACAGCCTTCAACAATGGTTGGAGCCCCGATACAAGTTCGACGGCAGGGCAACTTCAAGCTCTGACGGCGCAGAGCTAGCCCGAGAAGAATACTGTCTTGTACAGACCCTCTGTGGTGAATGATTCTTCTTGGTTCGTTGAGGTTCACTGGGCTTTTCAAGTCCAAACACGTCAGCTGTGTGAGCTGTTCGAGCTACACAGTATGTAGGGAAACGACACAGATGGCCGATGGCAGCTGAATCACACCATGGTCCAACACATGCTTGACTTTCATCTTTCATCACGCCTTGATGACACCCCTAACATGCTCTCTGATGAGCCAACTCCGGAGGCGCGCGTTGTGCCCGTGTAATTCTGAACCAAACCAAATGGAATGAACCAATTGGGTTAGCGTCGGGGTAACCGACGTATTTTTTTAAGCAGGTGAACGTTGTTTGCGCGACAACTACGTGCCGACCAACGGACACCTTCAAGATCGAAAGAGAGACAGTAATTGTTTTTTTTGCTCATGAAAACCCGAGTGTGTACCACGATCTTTCCACACAACTCTAAACATGCACTACACACAACGTGAGCCGATCGACAATCGTTGCCCCGCCACACCCGCTCCGCACGCTCCATAAGGGTAGTAGGGGGGTTCCCGAGGTATGTACCCCTCTCGCGCCCTTCCATGCTACACCAATATCGCTTTTTGTCCCTACGCTACACCTTGTGTTTTTAAAACCATGGTACCATCTATCGACTCGCTTGTCCCCCTTGCACCCGTCCTTCCTGATCTCGTGACAAACGATGTACACCATACGTTGCGGCAGTGCCACCCTGCCTTCGACTGCACGCACGTCTTAAAAATAACTTCTACGGTAGACCAGACGGGGGCCAGTTTCGCCATATATTCCACTCACCGTCGTCTTGCTCCCAAGACAACACCACGCCACTCCTCGACATAGTCATCATCTCCGATTTATCTACAACAAATGCTCAGGGTTTCGAACTGTGCCTTTCTTTCATCCACGATGTGGCACCAAGGACGTCGACGCCTGGCGCCTCTGTATGTACAGGAAAGTAGCACGAAAAACTAAATTTGGTCATTCTAGTTGTAAATCAAACAAAAGACCTCGACAGGCGACACATTATGTCCACCGCCTCTATTTCACGGCAACCAGCCCAGGTTACCACACACGCCGTACATAATTCCGTTTCGCTGCTACAAAAATGCGCCACAAAACATCACACGGTTCGACGGCAGACACCTGCACGTCGCCCGATCTTTTCTTCAAGCCACGTGTCAGCCACGTCTTCCCCCACGACCGAATGCCCCCTACGGCCGCAGAATACATTTGATACATATTGGTTTTTGACAGACGAAAATACGCAACCAAAAACTCTGCTCCCCCGTATGGGCATCACATTATACAACAACCCCCAGGAAAAAAAAACCAACATACATCAACGCAGAGTTACCGAGCCGGGCAGCCGTTGTAGCAGTAGAAGTGCTTGTCGTCGGCTGGACTACTACTTGATTTCGATGCTCTTGGGCAGCTGGGGGGCGGCCCTGCCGACAGCGACCTCCAGCCCAGCAACGTTGCGCGATTTCTTGCCCCCCTCGAGACCGCCACCGGCAGCACCACCGCGGCCGCGCTTGCGCGGCTCCGGCGTGAACCTGGCCGAGATGTCGGAGAACGAAGCGTCCGACGGCAGGCACACGGCCTTGGAGACCATGTGGTTGCCTTCGCCGAAGAAGGCCACGCGAAGCCCGTTGTTGTCCGGCGTCACCATCAGCTCCACGTCGTCGCGAGTCGCGCCCTGCGGCAGAGCAAACCTGCGAGCGCGGGCACCAACGAAAGTTTGTTGTTGAGTCCATATTCCAAGGGGTACGCGCGACGTTGATTGGTTCGAGGGAGGGAGAGACGGGAACCAAATATACCAGAAACGTCAAGCACTTGATGTTTCCTTTGGACTTGAGAAAGCATGAACAACCCGTCCGATGAGAGAGTGGGTGGCAAAGTGGATGGTTGTTGAGAGAGTCTCGGACCCATCCATTTTTCAGGCATTTGATATTTTGCCGAAACCGACCCTACGCAAGATGCGAGCGCTGCTCGGGTCCCTGCCAACAACAGTAGGGTACATCGACTGCGGGACATCGTGACTCTACGCAGAACAGCGGGTAAAAAATCACCAAAACCATGCCACAGAAAGAGCCCTGCATTGAATTTCGGTGTTGCTAAACCGCCCAAAAAAAAAAAGCTAGACCCTCGGAGAGAAACCGGTTTCACGCATCCCACGCACTTGACGACGTACTCCAGCTCCTTCTCCGACACGTCCGTGGCCATCGTGGCCCTCCTGAGGGCCTTGACGATCTTCTTCCTCTCCTTCCGGGCCCTGGCGACCGTGGCCGCCACCTGCTCCTCCGTGGGAAACCTCACGGAACCGTCGCCGTGCCACATGTCCCTCACGAGGCTACGGAACTCGAGGTCCAGCTCCAGGATGCTCGAAGGCTTAAGGCTGGCACCGTCGAGCTTCGAGCCGTACAGGTACTCGGCGGCGGAGGACGAGGCGGACGGGTGTTGGTCGTCGCCGTGGCGGCGCTCGACGGGAACGACCCCCGAGTCTTCCATGGTCGAGAAGACGTTGTTCATTCCGCCGGCGTTGACCGGGTCGTAGTGGGCGACCTTGGTGAGGTTGATCACGACCTGGTTGTCGTTGCCCCAGGAAGCGGTGACCTGCGGGTATGTATGCATGTTTCGGACAAGCCGTTGACGACGCGTACATACGTTGATGCAAAATAATGGTTTCTTCGTGCAAAACGTGCGTGCATGTATGGTGACCATCTCGAAAAAAACAAAACACGCCGGGCACAAAGTCATGATAGTCTGAAGAGTGTGCGAAAGGTACGTGCTCCTCACTTCATTGTGGCTCTTCCGGCGCGCTTCCACAAGCCAATATCAATATCTCAATGGACTTATATAAATATCTCATTGTCGTCTCACCCACTGCTGTGCTCCATCAGAAAGAAGGAAAAAACTTCCCTTCCAGATATGGGAGTGTTGCAACTATTGGTGCACATACTACTGTACAGTAGGGTACCAGCTGAGCGGAGTATCTTGCTGGCGTTGAACACCAAAAAACCGTGCTGCTATGGATATCCAAAGCCACAATGAGGAGAGACGGGGAGCGGGAAAAAAAAAACGTATTCTTCAGCAAAAGTCCCCCCTTCGTTGTCGCTCTCTCTCGCTCTCCTTCTTCCGGGACCGTCCCCCCTTGCCAACTCTAAACAAATTCAAATTAAATGCGAGTCCCTGGTGGGGGAACAGTAAAGACGACCGCGACCAGGGTCTCCATCTATCGAGGGAAGCCCTCCGTGTCAATTACAATCCGATGGTATTTTCATTTTCCAATCGTGCTTGTTGTTTGTTCACCTCGTTGGAAACGCTATCCGGGAGCGTGAAGGAGCGCGCGGCGGCATTCGTCTTGGTTGTGCATCGAGTCATGACCCATCCCTTGGAACCTTCGCTGCCCTTGTCAGCCGACTTGCTGATCACGTCGTGGTTCTCTTCGCGCGTCGTCCGGGCCTCGACGGTTAGCAGGCGTCCACTGGGGAGCAGGAAACATGAAAGAAGGTTGTAAGACACAACCAAAACATCAGCAGCAAGCGTCAGTATGATGGAAGTACATCACGACGGTCGATGGTCCTTGAGAGCAGGAGTTTTTCTTTTCTTCCTATTGTAGCAACAAACCAACACAAGTAGAGTACACCACCGGCACAAGAGCTTTTTATTCTATTTGATATTTAAGAGGGGGCTCCGATATATGTAAGGGGGGCGAAATCGATTGTCACCGACTCGACCTAATTGAGTACTCTCTTTTTCCGGCAAGTACATGAGAGGGCTCCCTCCGATGTTAGAGAGTCGAGGGCCTTTGTCACACCACCCTCTTGCATTGGAGGCACGACTGTATCTGAGGAACTTTACAAGTAGGTTGTTATGTGACGACAGCAACAAAGATAGCGTACACGCCAACAGTAGTGCCACCATGGAGCACCTTTCGGCAGGCCGAAATAAAACAACAAGCGAACATCCAGCCAGCCGAAGGCGTGTGATACTCACAAAACGTCAAAGACCCCACCCACTGGAAACAATCAACCACATCCTTTGCAACTAACTGTTGTGGTGTGCATAGTCTGTGTACCCGTATACGGTAGGTCATGGGTGATTTTGTGTGTATTTTCTGAGGAGGGCAAACCCGTTTGTTTTCGTCCCCACACGTCGTTCTGTAGGTGACCGAGTGCGCGGGCAAGTTTGAAACTACTGACGCCGAGAACCAACGAACGGTCCGCACTGGCACTGGGAATGGGCATGAATGGGACGTTTCAAAGCACTAACCGCCGAACACGAGCATGCCAGAAGGCGAGAGAGAAAAAAATACACCCAGTCTTCTCTCCTGTCTGATCGCGGGGATGGTATGCACACGTCGAACATATTCCGCACGGTAGACTGCTGCCCCCCAGAAAATGACTAAGCACCCAGAGGCGACTTTTGTTTTTGAAAACATGAGAGAACAATAGTCAACCACGGCTCTCTGTCGAAGACTAGCTAGAAGTTCTGGGCCTCACCACACTGGCACGGCGCAAGGCAACTGCGCGAGACAGAAGCGCGTAGTAAGGACGAGGGGGGGAGGGGAGGGGGTGATGTCCAGGTTGAAACCAGCTGGTTAAACCCAGTGAACTTCAAGGAGGAACAACCAACTACAGTAAGCTGAAACGACTGACCTGACCGACACCTCCAATCCGGTGTCGCTGATTCCGCTCGGCAAGTTGAAGGTGAGCGCGTACCCGGCGTCGGTCTCGCGAACCTCGGGGTCTGGGATACACATCGGGCATTCCTCCAGCACGAGGGGCAGGTCGAAGGGCGGATGTGCTACGACAGGCGGGGGGGGGGTCGTCTTGATCGCCCCCTCACGACGAGACTGCTGTTCGGCGCTGGCTGCCATTTGCAAGGAGTCGGATTTTCCGCGCACATTTGAAAAGAAACCTCTTTGATGCCCTCGCCCAACAACAGACGACGTACCTAGGCCCGCCGGAACTGGCGAAAAGGCTGACACTTGTTGATCGGGCGCGGGCAGCACGGCGGAGAGCATCGCAGCCCCCACGACGGCCGGGCGGATGAACATGATCTTCGGCATGTCGTTGGTTGCTGTTGTCAAACTTCAAACAGCTGCTGCTTTTGGCGCGCGGCGAAAGATCGCGTAGAGTCGTGGAGTCTCAAACAAGATATCGCGGTTGGTGTGGACCCGCTCGCCTTCTGACTCTAGCTTTGGTGCTCGATAGCTTCACAGTGTAGGGTCTGTTGCAGGGTCGCGTGGGGAAGTGGGGGTGGGGGCGGAAGTGAGGAAAAGGGCGTCTGTTGCACAACCAGCTCCAACGAACAATATAGAGCCAGCCCTCAAGTTGAGCTTTGGGGGCACGGAAAATAATGTAGGGTGTGCACCTATACAAACAGCGGGGCCGCTCGCATGCAACCGCTTTGTTGGGCGATGATCAGCCACGTGCGCTACGCTACCCCGTCTTTTCGGACGGCACGATGGCCAACAGCACTGCTAGGAGAGAAAAGTTGTCCTTGGGCGCCATGCGGTGTTTGTCGGCGGCGATCATGCTGCTTGCGGTGGCAGACCAGGTGTGTTGAGCTCCGAATTGCAGCCAGGTCAGGCTCCGCCGCATGTGATGACCCTGCTCTGTCACGTTGCAGCTCACCAAAGCTCGCAACACGTGCTGTTTTCCTTCGTGTGGCAGGGACACCTGACCCATTTCTTCCTTTGACACCCTTTGCGGTTTGCGAGTATGCTTTAAAGCCAGTTACCATCGCGCAGGCATGCACGTTGATGATGGTCGTGCATGCACACATGCCACATGCACCCCATGCACACGCCGCGCACACTCAGCCTTACGTCACTGACACACTCTCGCTGCTGTCGTTCGGGCCTACATAGGCGGACGGGTTCTATTGTGCTCCCGGTCGAATCGGCGGAAGGGCTTCCAGCTGCACTGCAGTTTCGAGCTCGAGAAAGGTGAGTTTTCTTTGTAGTCGCAGAATCATCATCTGTGTCAGCCACCAGCATGTTGTGTTGAAGTTTTTTTTGTATGTCGCCGGAAGAACTCCAACCTATTCGCCAACCGTCGGTGTATAACCACCTGGTATAGCAGTATCCCCGAAGCATGCGCTGCGTGCTTGCATGTGTGTAGAGGAAGCGAGAGAGAGAGAGAGAGCTAGAGGCCAGAAAGACATGGATACTAACAGACACGGAGCCAGCTGTACAGAGCGAGAGGAGAGTTTGGCTAGCGAAAACTCCGCTGATCCACTATGTAAGGCCAACATGCGACGCTATTTAGAAGCTTGAAAACTCTTTACCAGCCAATATATTGAATACCGGACTCAAGTCACACCTCTCAATACACATGCACAGTCCGTGCATGTTTCTGCTGTAATATTTGGCGCTCACCCGCTCACCCGTGCTGCAGGTCCCGAAGAAGCTGTTTTTTTTCCCCATCATAACCGTCGTCATGAGGCAGTGTATCAGGGTCACTTTTCCTCTTTTGGAAATGAGCAGTCATGGCCTCCTCAGTTCCGGCTCTACACGTATTTAGGTGGAATCCAACACTCCTCCAATTCCGTTCAGAATATCTGACAAATTATCTACACGTCGATATCGATACAAGCAGCCTTTTAGAGTGCTCTGTTGAGGCGGATCGCAGCCCCGAAGGGCTCGTCCCTGCTTGCCTCCCATCAGTCGGCGGTAACTTCAAATTCGTTTCCGTGAGGGGGTTGCTTCCATCATGTTTGGACGTAGAGCGCGGGTGCCTACTGTGTTAGCTGCTACTCCTAACAATTTAGATCATCGCTGCAGTGTTGCGTTCAGCTGCTATCGTCGTATGCACACGATTTGGATCATCGTTGGGGGCAGCGTCGAAGGGTGGATCCAAGATTTCACGAAGCCTTCAATCCTACCAACAGTATGCTAAAATGTGACGCAATACTAGTATACCGTTCCCTAGAAAACAAGTTTGACAACATTATGCTTCCCTGGTAGGCCAAGAATGAAAAAGCTGGAGTCGCTTTGATGACCAAACACGTCGTGCTCCTAATTTTGCTCTTCGAATTTGGAGACCGCCTTCGAATTTGGAGACAACCCATAGTCGCCGCGGCCGGCAGCAAAGAATGGGGTACGGTAAGTCACGCGACATGGGGGTTCGACTCTTGACCTGTAGTTCATCGCGACGGCGCCGGCTTTCTTGCGTACGCGTTTGTCCGCACGACAGGCATCGTCGTCCACATGGTCTACTCGCCCGACCACGCCCTCGCAAGATCGCAGCCGGTCCGGCTACGTCCTGCAAGCGTCCAGCGCAGAGCCGAGGTATGGGCAGATTCCGCGTATCGCTTGCGTACCGCATTTCACACGGTTTGCATGTTAGCCTGTGACCACGGGAATCGACCGCGCCAGTACGGTGCTGGGCAGAGAGATCGGAACGCTTTTCAGTGCGAAGTTAACAACGACAGCATACCACAGCTTTCTGGGACGCACCGTTTGTGTGCCTGAGTTCTTGGCGGGAAGGTGCAAGAACCGAGCAACGCAGCAGCCGTGCCGCTTACTTTGGGCGTTGCTTGTGGCCGCGAGCATTCGAGGTTTTCGCCTGGGTGTAGTTGAAGGGGAGAAGAGGAAGTGGGAAGAGTTCAGCAGGAGCTTTGCTGGTAAGACGGCAACAGCAGTAGCGCCAAGTGTGTTGTCGGAAGACTGTCGATCTCGCTCGCCGTTGGCACGGGAATCGACACACATCCTTTCCTAGTCGCAAGACATTCAGCGATCTCCAGAGTGTTTGTGCGCGTACTACACGAACACTTGTTCGATGCAATACTGTTTGTCGACCCCCGTCCGCTGCGGCTGATTCGATGGTCGTGTCGGGGTGTTGTGGGTCCCACGGCGGACCTTCGTATCATTTCACGCACGTCAATTCGGGGCCAGGTTCATGTGCCGACACCTACAGCAGTAGAACACAGCAGTAGATACAAAGCCCAATCGTGTACTCCCGCCCCCCCCCGCCCTAGAACCTACTGATCTGTCACCGCTCGGTCTGTTCGAAATCGGTCGTGTTCTTGAAGGGACCAAGACGCACCTGAGGGAGACAAAGCGGGGGCGGAGAAGAAGAAGGGGGGTGAGGGGGGGGGTGCAGAAGACGCGGTGCTGGCAAAGCCTGCGGAGTCGCGCACAGTCCTCCTGAGCAAGAGGGTTGCGGAGGAGGGGAAGACGGCCAACAAGAGGGCCAAGAGGATGGCTAACCTGAGCAGCCAGCTCAAGAGGTGGGTGGGTGCCTGCGCAAACTTTTGGTGAAAACCGTGCGTGCAGGGGTTGGGGGGAGGAGTCCTCGCGCAAGCTCAGTGAGTGAGGGCACGCGTGCTATCCCTGGTCGTGTGGTGCAGAATCATCACGGACGCTTGTGGGGTCGGGCAATGCCTCGGGTAGGGGTGCCCCCCGCATAGACCGTTCTCTCTTCATTGCTCCAACGAGGACGTTGTCGAACAATTTGTTTTTTTGTTTGTTT